GCTTACCTCGTCGGCGCTATGCACGAGGTGAACACGACCACCGGGATGGACAACTGTGCTGATGCCCATCGTTTTCAAGATAGCATGATGTTCTGGATTGGTAGGATCAAATTCGCTGGCGTGCAACGTTTTGCTGAAACAGACGGAAATGAATAATGAAAACAGTCGTTCAGCGTCATACCGAACTGCGTCTGACCGGTGAACGAAATTCTTCAACTTGTTGCGGACCGATCGAGCATAACTACCATACTCAATGGGAACCGGAGGCAGCCTCATACACGTTCGAGAGTCCTTTGTACTCTTCTGCATTTTACGCGTTGAATCAACACTAGACTGCTAAAACAAACTGCATATAGATATACACATTGCTGTTCTCTCAGGTACGACTACCGCTGGTTCTTTCGGGTACGCGAGTTTAAACGATGACAGTTTCAGAGGCAACAGATGACCCTCGGTGGTGAACACAAAGTCGTCGATGTCAAATATAAGATCTTCTCGCTCGGCGTACAGAAGAAAAAGATACTTGAACGTCTCCGCCAATAGGTAAGAATCCATTCTGTGACAATCAGCGCATAATCATAAGTAAGCCTAACAATGGGAAACTATTTACTCAAAACACCATTTAATCATTCGCGTGCACTAGTATAAGATACTGATGGACATTAATCCTTAGTTGTGATCTCACATAAAGGTGCATGTCACAACCCTTACCTCTGTTCAGTATGACATTATGTGAGCAACATCATCTTAACACGCAGCCAAAACAACAGAGCTAGGAAAGATCGCAATCATGCAGATACAGCTGATAAACAAATGTTTTGGTAAGAATCAGATACTGATTTACAGAACGGTTTCGTTCTCTGAATGTTACAAACTGAAAGAAACAGGATAATCTACTCCACTGTTTCACCCGCTGACAAACAATTAGTGTCTTGCAAATTTTGCAGGCCACTAGCCCGTTGTTTGTGAGGACAGCATCGAAAAACTGTTCAAAAACAAAGGAAAACTACCGATCTTCCTTGCGCATAGTGCGAAGGTCGCCGATGCCTGCGAAACCACATGGGATACGCAAGAAAGTGTTCATGCTTCGGATAACCTTCTCTCCTACCGACAGGTAATACGGATCTTTCGTAGCCTAAAAATCGAACGCAAACGAATTAAGATGTTCCACAAAAATCAGTTCATGCGTAACGTACTACTCAGGCTACCTTGCTACTTTTTATTGAGAGCATTAATTTAGACAAGTTAACTAGAACGTAAGACAACGTTAACGGCCTTGATAATTAAGCGTCAAAATCAGATTTAATAAGCAACGCTTCGTCACTGACGTACCGACCTTTCCAGTAACATCTATTATTTAATTCCACAGAGACTAAAGCACCACCAACCAAAACCACTAACCACCAAAATCCTTTCGCTGGTCTTCGTGGTTGGAGAAAAGACAATGAAAAAACTAGGGGGAGACTTGAAGTACGAATGAACCAGGTCTCCTTTAGCTGCTGCAGCAACCGTGAAATCCTGTCACGAACTTTAGCAAGATTCGCTACAAAGGCTCCGAATGCAATAACTGATGCTGAATGATGGAAATTGCCATCCGGTAATAAAAAAAGGCAGTCGCTGTTGGCCTACGAAAGAATCAAGTCTCTGCGGAAAGCAGTGGTGGCCAATGATTCATATGCAGGCGCTTACTTCA